CAAGCACACTGCGCTTCTGGTCCCGCCTCTCTTATAGCTTCTCGTTCTGTCTTGCCACAGCTCGTCTCAACCATCTCGCCGCCAGCTGTGGCTCGGCTAACGGTTTACCACAGTTAATGATCAATCTCTGACATCGTGTCAAGCAAGTTTATGTAGTATTAATTCACCTGCATAACGCATTTATACTCTCGCTATGAATGTTACTCTATGAAAGATTGTCTCCTAAGAATATCGTAACACGTATATTTTTTTCTTTTCTTGGTAGAGAACTTAGGCAAATTACTAAATTAAAATTACAAAAATTATTATTAGCAAATAGCATATGCACCAAGTTTGATTTCGAAAATATTCTGCACATTACAATAGGTTGCGAGTAATCGACTGCTAATGTTTACGGCACCTCGCAAAACGCTGACGCTCGCCAAATGCATTGCGTGCCTGCAATGTGGTAATGCGGTGTTGTGCTCTACACATGTCCAACATGGTTTGGCTGCAAGTATTTGTTGAACAAAACAGAACTGTACACATCTGTCAAGCAAGAGTGGCAGATAAATTACTTGTTTGTTGCTAGTTCAAAGTAATGTCGTCAATTACCAGGTCTGGCTTGGTACTTGAATCATAATTGCCAGTCAAATTTTGTAACAAACTATTGAAACACATTTGCTGAGCAGCTTTATCGTATTGTACGTGTAGCGTTTTTCTCCCTCATGCCTAGAGAGGTCGTTCGCTGGCAGCGCACGTAACCTTCTGCGTCACAGCTTACCTACTCCACCTGGTGAACAGGTTTATGCCAACGCTGTGCACGCAAGCGTACGTGCCGATTCTTCGTAACGATATTTCGGTTCAAGTGCTTCACAGTAAGCGCATTCCAAGATGCATACCTCTATCCCTCATCCCCATGTTACCCTATATGCATCCCCGACTCTGTGAAGAACCTAACTACCAAACGAAGTCTCCTTTCTGCCTTTGAGGTTGACGCGTGTGGTGCGAATGCTTTTTATGTATTCTAATTGTACTTATCATCTGCTCAATCTTGTCTGTAATACTCGTGTCAATAACAAATCGGCCATTGTTGAAAGTAATATTTTGTTCTCAAAGTATAATTTGTATAACCTCTTCATTTAAAATACTACTGATACTATATCGCTCTTTATATTTTGAAGGAATGTCACATAAAAATTTAATCATCATTTGCAAATTTATTTATTGCATCTTGCCTGTGGGCACTGCCTCCCGGCTACAAGATATAAAAAAATTTGTAAGTAATCTTGACGTAATTGGCAAACCAGCAATGTTGAAATGCGGTTCAGGATAATTACAGCACTTGCGATAAGCGGTTCACCACAATCGCTGTCCTGAGCGGCGACAGGTGATGAAGGCTCGGTGCTGTGGCTGCGTCCGTCAGACTTCGCTCTGTTGCCCCTGTCGCTCATGCATACAAGCTGCTTGCTACGTTGCGCTTCCTCGATATCACAATTTTCTTTTCAAGAAGCTACGCCTGACCTTCCTGTGCCGTGATTTGTCTTATTATGAGGCAAAAATTTTGTTTTGTGGAGTTCTCATATCTGGGAATAGACTATGAAAAAGTAAAGCATGATTTATCAAGAATTTCAAGTCGGAACAATTATACATATGTTATGAGGAGTCAGGTGTGAGGCGGATAACACCGAGATAACGATGCTCTGGTGCAGTGCACTCTTTACAAAGACTTTCTCTGGTTTTCGGTGTGGCTATGTGACTCGCTCATTCTCATCATTACAAAACCTTCTGTTGCGTTATTCGAATGTGATTCTGATTCTATCATATTATCAGTGAATTATGACTTTTTTATTTACTGATTATATATCTTGGCCAACCATCACATACTATTGTCAGCATTTACAATTTTGGGAATGTTGACAAGAACCGAAATGACCGTACTTGACCGAATTTGTGAATTAGAGGCGTTCAAAAAATGTAAGAAGACGTCTTTAGTTGGCACATGTTTTGGCTCACATTGTAAAAATGCTTTTTAAATTTATTTAGGATTTGATGCACCAGATATTGAACTGCAATCACTCACAATTTGATGCCGTATATGTAATGCAGGGAGCCATGCAGCTGGCTGAACCCTCCCCTGTACCAGCACGGGCGTGCCAGCTTGCCTCTCTCTCTCTGTTGTTGCTGGCCATATTGATCTCAGCGCCCAAGTTTCACTGGCTAACTCCGTTATTTTCCGACTGCCTCGTGCTCAGCATCTCCCGACTCCAGCTTATTTACTCCTTAATCTTACGGTATTATTTGAGTAGACTCGACAAACTTGGAGCTACTATCATCAAAATTTTGATGCACATTGAGGAATGTATATAGTCATCTCTATTACATGTGCCTGCCGGGCAATGTTTTTAATTTGTTTGAAAACGACCGATTTTTACGAGGCTTTAAGGTCGTGTAAACAGTGAGGATATATTCCTACCTCGACACTCTTTGTACATGAGCCAATCGCTTCCCTGATCGTTTTCCCGTTGCCACGCGCTGCAAAAATTGAATTTTGTCTACCGGTGTCATTGGTTTTGAACTACTCATTATGTGTATTGATTAGTTTGTGCGGTTTATTAGAGATTTCTGTATACGTTGGCGGTTTATATTAATATTTTATCTCTGAATAATTTACATTAGCGTTCCAATTGTAAGATTATTTCTTTATACACACATGCACTTGCCGAATCTTCGCAATTGTCTAGACCGTTAGCAAGCGTTTGTACATCTTCATTCAGTTGTAAGCGACGTGCAGTCTTTGTGGTGGTATGAGAGAGAGCAAGAGATGGCAGGAGGTGTTCTGGCTGTAGGCGCTAAATAGTCACAGCTTATGAGTCCCCGTGACAGCATCAATGCCACAGCCTCTACCCTCCTCCTCGCCCGCCTCATTTAGAGACTTGAGGCATGCCCTGCACTCACGCCTCCTCCCCATCATCACACCCCCTCCCCTCTCTGCCTCATTTTTGCTGAGGTGCCGCCTGAACTGCGTTCTTGGATTTCCCCGAATTTTTTTACGGCGTCAGCGGCTGGAAATCCTTTAGTTTTCGCCTGGCTTATGTTGCTTACTCAATTCGTTTTCTCTGAGACTCTAGCTCTATCCGGGGTTTGACTGTGTTCCTTTCAACCGTTTTAGATCACACCACTGAACAAAGATTGTTAGCGAAGATCTATAAATCTAAGAACGCTTCTAGACGATCTAGAAAAATTGTAGAACATTTTTATTTTAACTAAGCCGAGGCAACAGTGCGAGGCACTATTGATCGCACTATTAGTTGGTCAGTTTTAGATAACTACTTCTGCGACGTGAATGTGAAAACGCGTAATTTGTGCAGCATCCCGGGCCCTAACTTCGCTGTGGTAGTTTGGATTCAATCAGTTATATGCTTGCATGTGCATGCTACTTTTTTTTTCTTCAAGTTCTTTTGCTTTAGAATCCAAAATGGTACGAATTATCCCGAACGAATTTTTTGAAGAGTAACATCGCCTTGAACCATACCATTTTTTGAGATATTTCTTATCCTCATGCGTTGATGAATCTCCCACGAAAATACTACGTTTCACATCATCTATAGAACTAGCGATATTGCATCGCTTTATTCCTAATCATGAATTCTTTGTGTAAATGTTTTTTCCTTCAAGACTTGAGTTTAGTTCACCAAGCAAGCGGTACACGTTTTTAGAAAGACGGCAGCGGATACCCCATCTGGTCCTTGACATTTTCCTTCAGTTTTAGCCGAGGCAGTTAACGTGGCTGAGCTTTAATCTACAATCTTGTGAATTATCTTCGCTTCGTCCATTATCGTTGTTTCTTTTAATTCATTATTTGGCTGTTAAGCCACCATCCTCTTGCTTCACCAGTCTCGCTGTAAACTTTTCAGGGATGATAACATGAAGGCACATGCTGCTCTTATCTCTTTAAACTAAAATACATCATATCCAATTTTCAAAATCACAGTCAAATAGAACATTCTCCTTGCTGCTAACGTTCGAGGTTCAATTTGTTATTGTAATTGAATCACCAGCTCAGAAGTTATAGTTTGGCTATGTTATGTTGAAGGCGCTGATTTTTCGTCGTTCAATTCGCTAAGGTGGCGCTAATTACTGTTCTGTGTAGCTTTGTAACGCGTTGATAACCTTTTCGACCACTACTCCGCACATATTTGCGATTCAAATGCTGCGCCATATTACAGATTAGATGTATGACCTATAAATTCCCGAGCCACATCACCTACCTACCGATACTTTGTTTTCTAATGCAAATGGTATGAAATGCACATCGGTAATGCTGTCTGTAGTTAAGCACAGCATATATCCGTACGTTGCGAGTGAGAACGTGCCTCAGTAAAGCCTTGACAAATATATTAGCCAGTGTTTTCTGAGCTCGGATGTCTGGAGCCTAACATGTTGCACAGGTGTTGCTTGTCTCTAATGCTTTAGTTTGTACTGGGCACATGTTACATTGTGTGCTTCTCTGTACAAACTACCGGTCAAATATATTGTTTTGTTCGACTGATTTTGCTAGTAAGCAGCCTGTACAATGATCGATCGTATTCCATTGGATAGTGAAGCCAGTAGAATGTGTCATTGGGCAATTTTTATAATTCGATTTTTTCAATTAATTTTTATTCGAGGCTTGGGGTATGGTATCCAACTTCTACCTTAATTTTTTGTTCCACATGTGCTTTGCTTACAGCAATTTGCAGTAAACTTGACTCGACATGCGGTGTACAGGGTGTATGGTTCTTATAAAATTGTACACGTCCTTGTAGGCAGGAAAATCCTTTTCCATGTTGTGCATCGCTAGAGCCGCACAGGCAGCCGCAACAAAGCTCTTTACAACCTTATTTTTCTAACTTTTTGTTTTCGGATCGAGCATACGTGAGTTCCAATATGACGACTTAAGTTGTCCATTTCGCTGTTTATTTGCAAATATTTGCAAGACCTCGTGTGACATAAGATAATTCTTCTTTCTCTGTGAGCAGATGGCACCAAAGGCTCTTGGGATTGGGATACTGGACTATCGTACGAGTGTCGCACCATCCTCTTTAAGGCTCTTCATAATCTTATAGAAAGGTAAATGCATGAGTACGTATAGATTAGTTTAGTCTTTCTTTACATGCATGCGATATCATTTCATGTTTGTCTGTTGTCTTTTTGTTACTGAATACCGGTACTATAAACGTTATAGATCAGCAAACGCTAAGCTTCTTTAAGGTTTTATGAAGTGTTGAGCAATGCCCTCATAGTTTGTTATAAAATTTACAATTTATTCATTTGTTGGTAGGTATTCTCGACTAATTAAGAAACACTCTTTGAACTTCCGGTGCATGCCATGTGCGATGGTATGTGCGTCGTTTAAGCATAGATGCTCTCACTCGTAATTTTTTTGAATATGTTGATTCAAATTTTTATAAAACTCGAGAAATTCATGAGCTATAATGAGTTGCGACACATTGACTGACACTTGGTACATTTCCTACAGATGTTTATTACGGGAGGACTTCGTGCGGTTGGGCAAGTGGTTCGTGCAGCCGTACGAAGCAGTGGACTGCAGCAGTACCTGCAAAAGGTGGGTATCTTTATTGTCATTCTGGCCACGTACTGCTGGCTTGCCATGCTGTCTCTCACATTATGATCTCAAGGCCAATTCTGCCTCCTCGTGCAACTTGTGAAGCTTGTGCCACCAATCACACCAATCAGTTCTGATGCGATTTTTTACGACCAAAATGCATCGATCTGAATTTTGATCTACAAGCATTCCTTCTGGTAACTTGGTGATTTAGATTGTGGCAACTGCGCCCTCGTACACTCAGCACAGGAGGCTCGCTACCCGACTTGATCTTGATATCGATGTTTCTACAACTATGTATAATGTAACTCAAGTGTTGTACTATATCTTCATATTAGCCTCATGGCTACAGGCATACGGGGTCAATCAATTCTCATCTATCACCATTCGATTAGAAAATTTAAACTACTACTTGAGTAAGTTATTGAGAAAGCGTTCAGCATCCTTACTCAGAATTCTTACGTTCGTGCGTTCGAAAGTCAATCTTGAAGATGGTCAATGTCCAACTCATGCATCTGTCTGGGACGGCGCATCTCGGTCTTATTGCGTCCTCTTATCATGTTATGAGCCCATGAAATCACCTTGAGTTAAATTAGCTTACCTTGAACTAATCTAGTTTAGTGTTTCTTGCTTGTTCTTAAGAAATTTAGGAAGGAAGCTCTAAAAAATTGCAAGATTAGTCCAATTGAAAGCTCAGGAAATGTTTGTTCAATAGAACCACTGTGTTACTTTTATAATAATTCGAGCTAATGGGTTTTAATGTGACAGTTATGGTGCAGTATTAATCACGCGCTTCATTTGTTAGTTTATGTCAGATGTCGCAACAGTCAAATCTTGTGAGTTGTGACGGAATGTATCAGCATAATTTTGTTTATTAATTTTACGTTATTGTATCCGTTCATTAGACTGAGTAAAATAAGGCACTCTTTACTTCGTCATTTGAAGTACCTAATTCTTATTTTATGCAACATTTAGTGACGCGGTAGTAATGTTTGGTTGTTGTGTGCAGCACGCACCTATCATTCAGCCTATCGTTCTTCGTGCACGGCGAGAGCCACGTGTGTGCCAGCGTAGACGTGCGGCAGCAGCCTCCCGTGCGTCGACTACGCGCTGCTCACCTCGCCATGGCTGCTGCTGCTGCTGCTGCCTCCGCTCACCGCCCTCCTGCTCCACCGTCGGCTGCTGGTCCCTCTCCTGCAGCCGCCCCTAATAACCCTCCTGCTGGGCTCCCTGGTAAGCCTCATAACTATTATGTTTTATTGTAACGGGTGATAATAACTGACAATAAACTATTCTCTTTTTCATTCAAACCGGTTTCCTGACCTTTTCATTTCTTGCATTGCGCAGTGGTGCTGGCGCCGTACAGTCTTAGCGGGATCCTGACGGGAGTTTCGTATCGCGTCACTGACCCCGGAATCCAAAAAATCCTCGACGACTGGAAGCAATTTTTCCCGCTGTCGAGCCGCCGGCGACACCGGCACCGCACACGGACGAGCAGCGGCAGCAGCAGCGACGGCGACGATAACGTTGGAGATAACACGTCTGAGGGACTCTCGTCGTCAGCGTCCAGAGACGAGTGGTCTTACGTCTCGTCTGATGAAGACGACCTCCCGCCCGTTGTTGAAGTCCTCGTCGGTGAGTGCTTCAATAGCATTCTTTCTAGACGATTTCATGTATTACCGAGAACCAATCCTTCTGTTAATGAGCATTTAACGATTTTTCTATTTATTTAATGAAATCTCTTACAGTCCTGCACTGAACGATCAAACTTGATGTTGTGAAGCAATAATATATATAATTCGGTATATATGTTTTAATTAAAAGGCTATTAGTTCTATGTATGCGCTCGTTATTAGATTATGAATAAATTATAAATTAGAGGATCGTAAATGTTAAGTTATCAAATTAGGTCAGTCCGGGCTATCCCACGAGCTCAGATTTTACCAATTTTATTTATCAACTTTTCGTGATCTCGTGTTGTATTGAAGAAGAATCCTATTTCAACATTGCAGGTGGCTTCAGGCTAAAGTATCCTAGCTTTTACGTGCTCGTGACGGACTTGGATGATGTGAACCTCCCTAAAACTACTGACGGCACCGAAGGCTCCCCTAACCAGCTGCCAGGTGACCCCACCTACGACAACATTGGGTGCCCGCCTGTACCTTTGAAGCCTCGCGTCTCCCCCCGCCACACACATTCACCTTTTACCGCTTCCACGCATCCGCTGATGGTCGCTAACTTCGTACAACCTGAAACTCGGGCGTCCGTGTCTCGCGGCCTTGGCGAGCGGGTGTGGCAGGATGTGGTCCAGTGCCATCAGACGAGTTCGTCTTCAGGCGCATCGAGTTCTCATGAGGGATTGTCCTCTGAGGGCTGCTCCCTCACTCCTGCAGAGCTGGCTGGCCGTTGGGACTTCGCTGACCCCGCCACAAAGCTCCCATGCACTTGTTCCAAGTAAGATTAATACTCTTCTTGGCAATAAAACGATTTTTTAACCCTTATAAGTATCATTTGATTACGACGTTCAGTTTGAAACTTGTGAAGTTTGACCGGTACTTGTCAAGGAACAGAAATGAAGGTTGAAATTTAAGATTTGTGTCGAACAGATGTGTGGGCAGCAGTGGCAGTTCAACGAGCAGCAGCAGTAGCAGCAGTACCCTATATAAAGGAGGTTGTGGCGTTACGACGCCTGGCAGTGTACCCAGCTTACGGACGGGAGGAGGTGGTGGCGGTGGTGGTGGTGGAGTCTTAACAGACGGACCTCCTGCATCCGTTGAAAGTCAGGCCTCCATCACACCATCTCCTCTGCCCACCCCCCACTCCCACCCTCCGTCGGTCACCCCTCACCACGGTAAGATTGTGGTTTTGAAAATATTCTCTCAGCCAAAGAGTTGTCTTGTATTATATTGACTTCTTCATTAGTTAAACATATTTTTAAATCTGAGGTATAGTAAGCAAGTTGGTACACAATAATTTCTGTAGCTTGGTTGTAGCACCCTTGACCTGCAAGGTTACATTATAACTGAGCAACAATTTACCACAGACGCGTCTATGCCCACACTGAGCCCGCAGCCTCCTCCGTCTAACGCGTCTCTTGGAGGGGGAGACCCCGCCACGCCCCTCGACCCCAGCAGCCTGGACACCAAACCTTGCCTCGCTGATCTCCTGGCTGCAACCGCTCCTGCCTCCGTCAAGATGGCTTCTGCTGCCCAGGTCAGAACTTCAAACATCGTCACTAGCCCTCACAAGTTCTATATAAACCGCCTCTAATTATTAATTGATAAACTAAGAAAATGAAACTCTACTTAGGTGCGAGATTTAATCATTTTCACAGTTTATGATGACATTGTCAATTGTTAGATTATTTTGTTTGTTGTCATAATGCATTTGATTATTTTTAATCTAACTTTAATTAATTATATTTTCCAAATATTTATTTATTCGAGTGTTGAATTCAATTTCGTGAACTTTATTTCTCCAATGACACTTAATTATAATACAGTATATTGTGAGTGTATTATTATTTTTCAATATTCGTTGGCAAGCTAAAGCGAGAATAGTTAGACAGCCTGTTCTACCCATTGATTGGTATGTGCCTCAAAGCTAATCTTAAAACCTAGTACAGTTCTACATTTGATATTTATTTTTCCTGTACTTGACTGAATTTGTTCTTGTTGGCTTCCCCTCCTGCAAAAATTTAAAGTCTTCAAATCACTATGTTCTTGTTATTTCTTTTATCAGCAACCAACCTGCAATGCAAAGAAGCAACTGTTTTACGGCTGACTCTGCTGTATTTGTTATTTAAATAATCTCTATGCAATCATGAATTGCGGTTCCAAGTAGTTACTAATTGAGTTGAATTTCAGGTTTCATCACCGTACCGAGGTCCCGGTCAAGATTCAAACAACACACATGAGTCACATTTCACCAGTGGCCAGCAACTGGCGATGCGTGGCCTAAAGCGTCATATCATGCCATCCTCTGATTATCAAGACGCGTGCAATTCAGAGAGCCACACATCCTCTCTTTATGATTGCTCGAAACTTGACGCCTGGTTAGTATTGGCTACTGTCATTAAGTATATATTGGCTTTTTACGTTGTTGAATCCTTCCATTGCTTCGTGATACTCCCTACGAGTGAATCATGCTATAAAAACACAAGAAGCACTACGAAAGGTGCACACCTCTGTTTTGAACAGAATTATTCCGTTCGTGCGCCAGCCTGCTCCCCTAATCTAATGAACAGGTGTCTCAGTGTTCCTTTAATCATATTGCCTTCGTTTAAATTTTAATATTTATCTTCCATCAATATTATCAATTCAAATGTTGTCTTCTTTTGAGTAACATTGTATTCTTTTTGCAGGTACTGCCATCCCGTCAAACGATTCCGCACTGCCGAAAACAAAGTCGAGGAGCCTCTTTGGCCACCTTACAGACCGCCTCATCACGCAGCTCCTCCTTCTCCTATCAAACAGGAGGTCAGTGCACTCAGTTCGAATCAAGACAATAATCATAAACATGTTGAGCGCCATTACCGGGTTGATAACACTCTCCATATTATACTTATATTTCCGTTTAACCTTGTGTTCTGCTGGTCTATTGGGCGCTATTTCCTTTATTTGTCAATGTGTAAGATAGACAGGTCTTACAGAGCCTTGAAATTAATCATGTTATTCCAAAGCGAGCATTCATTGTTTTACTATTACAATTCTGTAAGTTCTAGAGTATTTATAAATAAATTATCATTTCAGCATGGTGTCTTCGAAAACACGGACTCTAATGCCACTGGTATCGCAACGGGTCATTGCTCGCCATCACCATGTCTTCAGCACAACGGACTCGCCCAGTCCTGTAAGAGACCAACCTCTGAAAGCTCCTCTCCCAGCAGACTACCTACACTTAAACGTCCTCTCACGGGTCATGATCCTTACGTTTTTGATGATGAACCCGCTGCCACCAATGGTCTACCTGATGGCTTTAAACGCGAGATCGACATCAAGGAAGAACCTAAGGATGATATGTCACCCAACTCTCCTGCCATCAAAAAATCGGACCTGTACACGAGCGAAGGGTTGCACCCGTCCCCGTCCGATCTAGAGAAGATCTTTGCCAATGATTCTCCTCTTGATGATGTGAGTACCCAGAAATGCACCTATTACATACGGTTACTATTTCGTAATCTCTCGTGAAAATTTCTTGTTTGCGTTCAGATTTCGTGTCTAATTGAGAGTACATAAATATAGGTAATTAGTTGTGAAAATCGATTGAATTTAAACCATATGTTTTTTCTTGTATGAATACCGTGAGAGAATTGTTTAATGTTGCTTCCATTACCGGAAAATTATAGAAGAATACGATAGCACTTGCATAACTCCACTGTTCAACAACATCTTTTTAAATCTTGTCAGAACCATTACCGCGATCACACACCGCCTGGCTCGAATCACTCCATTGGAAACATCGACGATATGCCGCAGTCTAACAGCTGCAGCGGCGTGGGCAATATAGTGGCAAACCTAGGCAAGAGTAATTGCAGTGTATCCGCATCGACAGCTGCAGGATCCGTTAGTCTTGGGGAGCTCACTAAAATGTATCCAACGCCACCGTCATTGGAACACAATAACTTTGATCATGACGCTGCTTGCGACGATCAAGAGCCTACGGATGATTTTAGCCTTACGCACACTCCAGAGTTGTTGCCTCATGTGTTGAAGGAGGACATCAAAGGTTCGAACATATTTAGACCTCTCCCGTTATCTATGTTTGTGGGGTCGGAACGTTACAAGCCTTTGACGGACCTTCCCAGCATGCGCGATCCCGTGCAGATATTGCCTGGCTCTGTATATAGACCTTCCTGGCCTCAAAACAGTAACAATAATAATAATACTAATGTCAATAATAATTCTAGTACTAGTAATAATTTAGTGGAGAAGTTACAGCGACCGCCGTCTCAGCTTCCTCCTCAACTCGGTACTCCTAATAAACTAGGCGCCATGTCCCCCGCGATGGATAGAGGCCCTGGCAGCGTAGGAGGACCTTCTTCAGTGGGGCCTAGCCTAGGCTACGAGTTAGCCTCCCCAGCCTCCAATCAATCGTACCTGAGCAAAGCGGTAGCGTCCGTGGAGCCGAGCACCTTGAGTCAAACCCCTGAGGCAAGCGCCCTTATTGTTAATATGGTTTTGATGGACTCGTCTCTTAATCTATTCCGTGATCACAACTTCGACTCGTGCCCAATGTGTGTGTGTAATAACGATCACAAGGTCGTGGGTAACGTACGTGGTAGTGATGGTGCACTGTACCTTCCATCGTCTTATCTCAGTCCTTCTGAAGAGGCAATCGAGTGCAACTGCGGCTTCTCTGCCGTTGTTAATAGAAGACTTGCATTCCAGTCCGGTTTATTTTATGAAGACGAAGTGGACTTGACAGGTCTTCACGATGGCCTTCTTACTGAAAGAAGAAAATCCTCGTTATCCAATCTCGTTGAGAAAAGTAATAAAAATAATGATAATGTTGAACGAGATACTAGTTTATTAGACCATATGCCGGAGAGTTTATTTCAGCTGGTGCAGCACCAGTGCGTGGACACGCTGGGTAGCAGTAGTAGTGTGGTACAAAGAGCGGCTGCTGTATACAGATCAACTAGGCCTGTGCTCAAAATTAATCTCGTTGATATCAAAGACGGCAATGATTTGGCTCAGTTGGCTCTCGAGCAAGCACGTTTAGATGAGAGTCCTCTCACCTTGAGACTATCCTGCATGCACAAATGGGCTTATTATCAGTATGACGGACCTGCTTGCTCACAAGATCTTGCCCGTTGTATGACGGCACTTCAACCCCACCTGCAAGAGGCCATACAGAAAAAGTCTCGACCATGGGAACCTGTGTTCAATGTTCGCGGGCCGCTCACATGGCGTCACTTTCTTCGTATGGCTTTTCGAGGTACTGAAGACATGGCTGAGCCTCTCCCTGTACCTATGTTGCTGGCAGGGCATGATAGAGACTGGGTCTCTGTTGCGCCACAAGCAATCAAACACTGGGAACGACTAATGCTTGAGCCTTACTGTCAACAACGCGCTATCGCATACGTCGTCGTATCTCCTGACAACGAATTCGTCCTCAACCATGTCCGCACTTTCTTCAAAGAGCTCTCGTCTGTTTATCAAGTGAGTTTTAATTGTGCAAATTACTGCTATCTGTGCTTTCAGTCTTTGTTAGTAGAAGTTTAGTTGAATTAATTTCAGTGTGAGGTAAATAGACGATTGTGTAAAATCGTAACTTATTGTCTATCTTAATTCTTCACCAAGTTTCATTATAGCAGTGTAGAAACTGACACTTTCTAATGGCAGAAAATACGAGCGCTCTTATTCAGATATTTGGTATTTGTTAAAGTTGTTATTTTCGTGTAGATATTCGATTTTTAATTATAGCTTTGATTGAAAATGACTAACCGCCACAAAATGATTGTATTTATTACAGCAGTAACTTTATTAAAGTTGTTTGTTTGAGTTTATTTAGGTTGCAAGAAATGCTTGGATTTATTTATGAAATTTTTCATGTTAGATGTGCCGTCTGGGCCGACATGCGCCCATCCAACGCGTCTTGGTAGACGGCATCATGCGAGTCAGCAAGACTGCCGCAGCAAAAGTCGCCAACGAGTCTCTTGATGACTGGTTCACACTTCTCGACGATTCTCAAATATCAACTAAACTCAAATTCTATTCTCAGGTACGTTTATGGTTCTTGATTTATTGTAAAATGATGCATTCGCCAGTCGCCTGTAGCGAAACGCCGCCAACCTAACATTGAGGTTTTATCTGCAATCGTTCCATCCTACATACTTTAAATATTTTAATTTGAAGGCTCAAAGATGGTTTCTATAAACCATTTTATACTGATTCTCGCATTATTGTTCCATTTTACTTGCAGCGTGTTATTTTTCAGAATAATGTAATTTTTCATTGAACTATTGCAGCCTTACTTAATGCGGTGTGTTTCAGGTGTGCCGTCACTTTCTGGCGCCACATTTATCAGGATTACGTATGGACAAGACGTTGTTCGAGGTGGGTAAGAGTAGAAGTGGTAACAGCACCAACAGCGGCGATCAAATGCAGCGTCAGGCGTCCATGTCACCCATGCCGCCTCCCTCCCTCGGCCCTGACGGCTCAACTGGTGGCGTTGATATGCCAGGACAGACGCAAACTGACGGATATGCCGTGTCTGCAGGCAGTGTAAGAATTATATTTACTTTCTCGATGAAAAAATATATTAAAGATTTAATCGCAGTATTAGGTACAATCCTTATAGATTAGCACTTGAGCCAAGAAAAGGAAATGATCTTCATTCCCCGTATCATAAATATTTATTCATTTTTTCTTTTGTATCATGTATTGATGTGTAAATCGTGATTATTACTACCCTTCCTTATTTCTGTCATATTGAACAGATTAAAGTTCTCGTACTTGAGGTTAAATTTGTTAACTTTTATGGCGTGCAGTCGTTCGGGTCGGGATGCAGTCTTGTGGACTCAGAGGAAGATGAAGGGCCGCCTCCTGCAATCATGATTTACCTGGTGGATCCTTTTAGCGTTGGTCACGACCATCCTGAAATGCATCGTCTCATCACTCTGGGCCTGCTTCGCTGCTATAAACAAATGCTTGACTTCCTCCCACAACACATGCAAGCCAATGTCCATGTTCAGGTGAGGCTTGTCGTGCTGGAGTTCCCCGTCTTCATTTTTAAATTTTGATCTTGAACCTTAATCATTCAATCATCTAATGTGTTATATCTCGACATCATTATGTTCTTATGTTGTGAGTTGACTCGTGTGACCTGACTGCTCAGTTAAATCACTCGCCAACAGCTAACCTGAAGGTGAATAGACCAGCCAAGTCGTAGCCTTGGCTGGCCTATTATTGCGTCAATTTAGTAAAGAGAGATGAGATGGAAGATGGGGTTAAGAAAAAAAATTGCGAGCGCATAATGCTACTTTAGCGGTGTGTGGCAAATTATTGTTGACGAAGCCCTTGTTATTATGAGCTGCCGTAAGCCGTATCAACTTTTATCAAAGTTTGGTCACCCTGACGCCTATAGATGAGATATTTGCTCGCGTTTGGAAGCAGACTAAGGGTCATCATGCATGCATAGATTTATATATGCAAGTTTGATTGAAGACCAGAGCATAGATTCCTTAAAGATTCCTTACCTGAAATTCTTGCAGCAATCGGATTCTCAACAGTCTATGAAAATGTTACCCACTAGCAAGTTGAAGAGCGTTGCAAGGAATGGAGCCGGTGGATTTATTCTTTAGTGTACAGTTGCGTTCAATAAATTGTGAATTAAACTAAATAATACGCTAGTTAGTTAGTTAGTTAGTTTAGTGGCCAGAATTCGATGTCTACTGTAACGGTTGAACAAACTTGGTGGAAGAATTTGCACGTGAATTATTCTTCTGTGAAATGATTTTCATTCTTCTATCCTAAAAATTAAACTAAAAATTATTTTTAACAGCTATTTACGATAAATTTAATGGATGACCGTGAAGATTATCAAAAACGCAAGTTTGATTGAAGACTGCCAATGCTCTGGTCTTCAATCAAACTTGCATAAAAGAAAAGCTTCTGCCTAACTACACGAAGATTTATATATATATATTTATATTTTTTTTTGAGGAGCAGAACTTGCTTCATGCCATCTATCAAAAGCCTTTCTGTGAACGTGTTGTTTTTGGTGGTGCAGATCATATCCCTGGAGAGCATCGTCGAGCTGGCGGCTGACACGCACAACATCTCCCGTCAGTCTGACCAGCTCAAGTGCCTGGCGTTCTCCGTGTTCACGCAGTGCCGAAGATTCTTAACTCATACCAATAGCGTCCGTTCCCTCACTGGCTTTGGTCCTGCTTCCGTTTACGATAATTTCCTTAAACCTAGAGATGTAAGTATCCTCAAAATTTATCATAGAATTTCAACCATTGGACTGTTATCTTAATTTAAATAATAAGTTGTATTCTTGATTAAATCTCTAACTTGAGGTAATACCTGTGAGATTCAATCTCAATTACGATGAGCATGTTAATAATTCTATCGCATGTGTTTTTACAAGTTTTGTGATTCCTTAAAGATTCCTTACCTGAAATTCTTGCAGCAATCGGATTCTCAACAGTCTATGAAAATGTTACCCACTAGCAAGTTGAAGAGCGTTGCTAGGAATGGAGCCGGTGGATTTATTCTTTAGTGTTGAGTTGCGTTCAATAAATTGTGAATTAAACTAAATAATACGCTAGTTAGTTAGTTAGTTAGTTTAGTGGCCAGAATTCGATGTCTACTTTAACGGTTGAACAAACTTGGTGGAAGAATTTGCACGTGAATTATTCTTCTGTAAAATGATTTTCATTCTTCTATCCTAAAAATTAAACTAAAAAGTATTTTTAACAGCTATTTACGATAAATTTAATGGATGACCGTGAAGATTATCAAAAACGCAAGTTTGATTGAAGACTGCCAATGCTCTGGTCTTCAATCAAACTTGCTTAAAAGAAAAGCTTCTGCCTAACTACACGAAGATTTATATATATATATTTATATTTTTTTTTGAGGAGCAGAACTTGCTTCATGCCATCTATCAAAAGCCTTTCTGTGAACGTGTTGTTTTTGGTGGTGCAGATCATATCCCTGGAGAGCATCGTCGAGCTGGCGGCTGACACGCACAACATCTCCCGTCAGTCTGACCAGCTCAAGTGCCTGGCGTTCTCCGTGTTCACGCAGTGCCGAAGATTCTTAACTCATACCAATAGCGTCCGTTCCCTCACTGGCTTTGGTCCTGCTTCCGTTTACGATAATTTCCTTAAACCTAGAGATGTAAGTATCCTCAAAATTTATCATAGAATTTCAACCATTGGACTGTTATCTTAATTTAAATAATAAGTTGTATTCTTGATTAAATCTCTAACTTGAGGTAATACCTGTGAGATTCAATCTCAATTACGATGAGCATGTTAATAATTCTATCGCGTGTGTTTTTACAAGTTTTGCTGTTTAATATTTAGAACTTCACGACCTGTTGACAATACTAATTTGTTGCATGGTAACTAGGGTGGTCCTCAAAAAACTTTTTTTCTTGAAAATGAGTTCCTACCTCAAAAACGGGTTCCTCTAGATGCCTAAATAATATTCCTAAAATATATTTCAAATCAGTTAATATTTAGAGGTCGCTCAATGGCGTCAAAGTTTCACCCCCATGGCTCAGGGTCATTGGGTCTGTAGAGTGAACAAAGAAACGGGTCTGAACATGCTTGAACAGTAATTCTTTGTCCAGTCCCACCCTGTATGACTTGATTCCATTTCTGGGTTCGTTGTGCAGTGTGTATTTTGGACAGTCAGTCAGTCGTGTTCATCCACGGATTGTTGAAGGTTGACAGTCGCAATGGCAACTGTCACACGTGCAAAGAAGGGATAGTCTGTGTCTCCTTCTCTCGCGTTGACGCGAGCAAAGCTTCCTTCGTGCTAGGTAGGGCTGGCTGTTGTCCACTTCCATCACAGCAACGGTGCTACTTAGGATGACGCCTTCAAGGAGGTCATCTATGAAGTCCTCCAGTTCCGGGAGCGGGCAAGGATTCCTACAATGCGTCCTGATAACTTTTTAACGAAGCTGGAAAAAATCGAGCAAGAATACCAGCTAGTCAAGAACAATCGTCACAAGGGAATCCAAGGCCCAGACCGTGAGGGAGTCCGTCTTCAAGGAGGAACCAGAGAGGGTCTTCGACGTGCGCCCTCGGTCATGAAGATTGAGGAAGCCCAGGCCTTCCTTGTCGGGCATCGGCAGCCTGGTCGCCCGGGGTACATGGGAGGGATCGATGCCGAACTTGCCCGTAAGGAAGAGCGGAAATGAAATTGGTGGCAAGTGAAGGAGGAGCGCTGTCATTGGGCACAGCAGCCGTCAATGTCGGCTTCTACTGCCATATGGACCCAGGCGACTCGTCCTCCACATCATCCAGTGTGAGAGCGGAGGAGGTGGAATTCCATGGGCAACAAAAACAGGGAGCTGTGGGGATAAGCCACAGCTCCCGCAAGCGCAAGTCCACCGAAGAGGGCGAAGAATGTGATTACTCCAGGCTTGACAGCTTCCCTTGACCAAACCAAGGTGAGCGAAAGAGGATCTGCGTTCCTCCTAACCAAAGCAGCTCGAAACTTCGGCCCCAAGCCAGAAGAGGTTAACATCAACTGCTCCATTTGCCGATATCGGCAGAAACACCAAGACATGTAGGCCTCACAGCTCAAGGCGGACTTAAAGATGAGACGGTGGTGGTGCATTGGGAAGAAAAGCTAATGAGGACCTCACGAATAAAAAGCACGTGAACTGTCTACCTACCCAAAGCGGAAAGGAGCTGTACATTTTATAGGCGTTCCCATGGCTCGCCAACGCTACGGGGAATGCACAGAGCGATGCCGTCGTCACGCTTCCGCGGGAGTTGTGGATTGAGGATCGTGTGGTAGCGCAGTGTTTTGATAGGACGGCATCAAACACCGGGCACATCCATGAACTTTTCCTCGGCGAAGCATTCCAGGCGGTCATGGGTGGAACATCAGGCACACTGTTCCGACGGTTTCAGGCCCAGTGGGAGTTTCTGGAGTTTTGTAGGAGTATTCAGAGGGAGTTTTGAAGGAGTATTCAGAGGGAGTTTTGAAATTTCAACACATTAAAAACTCTCCATAAAGAAATCAGAGTGTGATGTAGGAGCGTGGAAAAACTATATTCGAATTTTGGACTCCATTGTTGAGGACAACCCTAATGTTTAGACCCGTTCCTTTTTAGCGCATTTTCTCATTTATGAAAAAAAGGAGCTATTGTGATCGTCATGTCTGTCCGTCCGTCCGTCCGTCCATCTGTCTGTCCGTGACTTCACAGACGGACGAGAAAATGCGCTCTCTATCACTCACTGCAGTGAGTAATGATCTAATTTTTTCACTCTAGAGACCCAATGACCTTGAGCAATAGGGGTGAAACTTTGACGCCATTGAGCGACCTCTAAATATTAAACGATTTGAAAAATATTTTAGGAATATTATTTAGGACTCTGGAGGAACCCAATTTTGAGGTAGGAATTCATTTTCAAGAAAAAATGTTTTTTTGAGGACCACCCTAATGGTAACCTATTTATTTTATACTACTTAATAAATGTTTTTTAGTTCACACAAGTGATTCATCTTGAATGTTAGCCGATTGAAAATTGGCTTGAATGATTGGTTTGTTAATATTTTTCAGAACATGGTAAAAATTTTTACATATTTTGTGTGTATTACCTTTCAGCCGAATGAAGAGGAGGAAGTGAGAGCTCCGTACCCGGTGTGTTCGCCTCCTTATATTCTGGCGTCAGTCAAAGAAAATAACCACAAAGAAGCTGAAGAGGCGTTAGGAGCGCCTAGAGAGAAGTCCACGGTACTGCACTGCACCTATTGCTTGTCAGAAGACCAACACTGGCTGCTTGCTGCTGCCACTGACAACCACGGCGAGATGCTCGACACCATAACAATCAATATAGAAGTACCAAACAGGTGAGCCATCTTATATGTTGAATTATCGCCAATCAGAATAGCGATTTTGATGATTCGTTTTCAAAGTAATAAGTTTTGAAGTTTTTTACTCATACTGATGATGCTAACTACCGAGTTTTCAATGTTTTTAATTGTTGGTAGATTGATTGAGAAGTCGGACATTTGGGTTATTAAAACGTTCGCTGCGATCATTTCTGAAATTATGAACATTAGATATTTGTAATCCTTAAGCTTGTTAATGTACAGGAATCTACTGAATTATGTATGTTGCATATTATAAGAGTATTTTCACTAGGACACGAAGAAAGAAAGCATCATCTCGAAGACCTGGTCTGAAGAAGCTCATGGAGTGGATTCTTGGTGTGATGTCGACTGGCGTCCACCCGTGGCGGCTGGTTGTAGGCAAACTCGGCCGCATGGGTCACGGTGAACTCAAAGGCTGGCTACACCTGCTCTCACGCAAATCCCTCATGGCGTCATCTAAGAATCTACGTGACCTGTGTAAACAATGTGACTATCTTTTCCCTGGTGCTGCTCCGTGCATCTTGTCTGCTTGCCTAGTATCACTTGAACCTGACTCCACGTTTCGTATGATGCCAGACGTCTTCACGCCCGATGAACGATTTGGGCACACAAGCCAAAACTGCAACTTGAACACTCCGCAAGACGTTACTTGCACCCATATTCTAGTCTTCCCTACCTCAGCTACTGCCCAGGTCAGTCAACAGATTTTTTTTGCCTGCTAAATATTCTATTTACTTCGTTGTATTAATTTACATGGTACATCATGTGACACTTAGTTTTACTTAAGGCTTGCGCATAATATTTGCGTTACTTCTGGCGTTGCGCATAATATATGCGTTACCTCTGACGTTGCGCATAATATTTATGTTGATTTTTGCTCGTGCAGTCGGCGCAGAGATTTCAGGACGAATATCCCTTCCAATTCGTCAACGAGGATTCTTTACTGTTGGATGACCACATGGATGGCATGGGTGGTCTCAACTACATAGATATCGTGAACATGGAGAGCTCCGGAAACGAGCCTGATCCTTTGGACGACGTGGCCATCGGCGTTCCCGAAAGTCTTTCTCAGTCTTCGAGCCCTAACAATGCAGGATTTGGAGGCGGCGACAGTAGAGGTCGTTGCGTGAGCCCTTCTCAGCAAAACGGACAGGCTCTAAGTAACGGTCAAGTTCTTGCTGATCCTGACGAGGATGAAATGGCCACTCTTTTACAACAGCCCCTGGCGTTAGGCTACTACGTTAGCACGGCGGGAACCGGCAAATTACCTCAATGGTTCTGGTCTGCGTGTCCGCATCTCGAGAATGTTTGTCCTGTTTTCCTGAAATCTGCCCTGCATTTGAATCAACCTGCCGTGACGCAAGCTGAAGCCGAAGATGTCTTACCCAACACATCGAATAAAGCACACCCTTTGGACTCGGCTTGTACTGCGGACGTCCTACGGTGAGTGTCATTCTCGTTAGACTCCTCCTGTTCTGCACTATAATTCTGCAATATAAATTTTTATTGAATAATTTATACTGTTCTAGTTATCAGTCTGACTATCAAATTTTTTGCCATAGATTCGAATCATTTTCAATACATTTTCTGGTTGCTAGTGATGCGTTACTTTTACAAATAATTGAGTATATCTAGTGGCTTTGCGATCTGTTGTATTTGTTACTGTTTGACTGGAGAAAGGAAGTGTAATTAAAGCCTTTGTTCCTCACAGATATGTATTGGAAGGCTACAACGGTCTCTCTTGGCTAGCTCTTGATCCCACAACCCAAGACAGAAGATCTTGTCTACCATTGCACATGCAGGCGCTCTCCAATCTTTATAATTCAGTGGCTGCTCTTGTTTAGTCCGACAGGAGAGTACCGTATCGTCATTTTGAGCATGGACTAGGCTCTCTTTTGGTGAAAAATGTGTCGACCTAGTCTCCGCCCTACAACTGGAATGAATTGGATGAGCATTTGATTAGTGCAGAAATTCGTGGTCTTGAGAGAGTACACACAATAAACTAATGCCAAGGAGTTCGTGCAACGCTGCGTTGCCTTACCGCTGTAGTGTCAAGTCATTGCATAGATCTCTCTTCTCAAACAATTGTGACTGGTAATGATCGTTCAGAATGACTATAGTAATAATTGCATATCATTTAAAATCATTCTAGTTTATTTAGACGGTTCGAAGACACTGCTATTGAGTCTTCCTACTTGTCATGTTCTCAAAAATTGTGTTTAGTTATTGATTTTAAACGTGCGAGAATTTTAATGTATGAACGCGCATTTAGGAAAAAATTAAATTAAAATAAGAATGTGAGAGAAATTTTAAAATTTGAATCTGTGATTCGTCGCAAGTAGTATTTTACAGGATCTCGTTGATAGTTCATGTTTTGGATGTCGGTATTCGACTGGCGTGGCCATGCTGCTTTAGCCATCGTGATCGCAGGTCTTCCTCCTGAGCGCTGCTGTACCTTCCACCCTTTCGTCACCCATAAAGGACAAAGGAACTCGGCATTCTCTACAGTCGTGGTCGATGTTAGCGCCTGCCTCCGTTTAAAGAGTGCTTCAGCTCTCCCCATGCAGCACTTGGTGTACGTCTTTGTGAGGTTTTGTTTGCGTTGCGTTGTTTGGTGGCGGCACACAGCGTCAAACTCCATTGCCAAAGAAAACTTAGCTAAGATTTCATATCTTGAGCGATCATCTCGTCGCTCCACCCTCTGCCTAACCTAATGTTGGTTTTCTTACTTAAGAGGAGGCTTAGTTGTAAGTTTAGTTCTCCTGCTTCAGCTTTAACACTATGGCCAACATGGCTTTACTACGAAGTGCTGCATCAGCATCTTTCTGGTAATGCGCATACCAGTCCCTACATGCATCATCTCGCGTGTCATATCTCAATTTCATGACCATCTGGGCAGCTACAATGTTACCACTAAAATGATTCCAGTACAATTCTATTGAGCCACACGAAAAATGTTGTGCTTAAATTAGTTTCACTTTTGCGTTCAGACGGTCTTGTCTTTTTTCTAACAATATTTTAATTAATTCTTTAAATTTGTATCTCGTGAAATACTTGTTCTCGTATGTGCCGCGAAATACGAATAAAAATTGTCAGGATTCTCGTTTCTTTAACGCATCAGTTATCTAGCTAACTTTGCACGTCTTATTAACGCTTACCCTTAGAAGAGAAACCTGTGAATTTGTTGCTGGTCTCGTGAAGCGGATTGGACGAGTGGTGATGTAGGGGCGTTGGTATGCACTTAGTCAGTGTTAGTGTCTTAGTCATGCAGGATTGTCTGTGATAAAAAGTTGATTATGAAGACTGCATGTAAATATTATGGAATATTTATGCCTTTGTTACGTATATAATAAATTTCTATGAACGGGAGTATTTTGAGGCGTTGAAGTGACGCGTGCGATTGCGACGTGTGTGTATATACGGTAGCCAGCAGAAGCGTCTCCTGCTGAGCCCCTTACAAATGTACAGAGTTCTCTTAGCTAGATCCTCAAGTGCTATAGTATCCATGACTGCTGTATTATTGCCCTTGGTTCCTCTCATATTATTATCATTAATATTATGTTATTTGATGTTGCTAGCAGATCCGTTGTCGCCTCGTGGCTCCATGAGTAGTCGCTACGTGTACAGATTCTTTACTATTAGTGCTTCTGAGGAGAGCAAAACTCTATTCACCTGCCAATACTAGAAATTCATTCTTGTATTTTCGAACTAACTTTAGTATTAGAGCCTAATTATTAAGACAAACAAAATAGATAGTTTACATACTGAAGCAAAAAGTATTTTACAACTGAAACGTTTGTACAACGTCTGTATTTTGTCAAAGTGTCCGCTTGTGGCGGTGGTGCCGTGTCTACTTACGTCGTCACTTCATTGTTAGCGTTGACATCTCGCCACGGTCGTCTGGCGACGGTGAATGTGATGCACTTGTCATGGGCTTGCAGATCGCATTTCATTAAAAATGAGACTCAGAGTAATGATTTGGTTGCGAGTATCGGTGAGATAACTTCCGTTCTTTATTATCTGGTTAAACGTTTTTGTCCAGCATTGGTTGACCCTTGACCGTGAACACCAAATTGCCCTCAGTTACGCACTCTTGAGCTGCAGCGGATTCTCTAGTTGCATTTGTGGTTTGTTCACAATGGCGATTAAACATGTCTTGTCAACTTTAAACAAACTTGTACCTCAATAGCCTTTAAACTCAGTCAGAGTCACGTTAGCTCTTCATATTTGGTGAACTAGGTTATCGTCTCATTTCATAAACCAATTTATCGCAGATAGTCATATTTTTTTCAGAAATTCTAATCATACGACTACTTCCCATCAAACGAACTCTTCTTATGTGTTACGACCGATAGTGATACAGTCTTTTGTTCATACGAACATTATTTTATTTTAATAATTCTAATTTTATTGTTTGCGATTTAGCGCCTGTAAATTCTTGTATAGCTAGTGTAGCCTATTTTTTGGAAAGGTACCTTACTCTTCAAAGAATATTCGTATTTATATTTTTCTATAAATTTTACTTGCTGAACTGTTCCCAATCATTAGATGGTCTTTGGTCACATTCGTTCTTAGAGTTCCAGTACAGTTCCTGAGGTCACTCCTCATGAGCTGCACTGTCGAACTTATTATTTATTCGGTATTTCCCTACGCCATTGGGTTCAGATGATATCTCAAGAAACGTAGAGCACAACTTATTAGCATATTTATTTGACTAGATTTTACGAATTAGTTCAATTTTCATTACTCCTTCTAGCCATGTTTTATTTATTACAGATGTACGTACGAGTAATGCACGCTTGTTTTTCACATTCCAACCTTTGATGTTTCCTTATTGCTGCGTTGGCGATACATTCTTGGAAGCTCTGAAGTTCTGTAATGAAAAAGTTGGAGAAGCATAAAAAAAATCCAGAGGTTGCAACCTAAATTTGAATGAAGCAAACCTGAAACTTGTTCTATTAGTTTTTGTTGTGTTTTGGTAGAAAGCCAAGCTTAAGACTTTCATTCATCTTTGATGGAACACATGAATTTAAATTGTACAACTAAATTTGGTAGTGTCACTAGTAAATTCTCTGGTCGATCTGCGCGTGTAACTTGGTTTACTTTTTAATGATTCTAATTGTTGTTGAATTTTAACATGACATTTGAATATTTTCATTTATTGAACTCCTTGATGAGAAATTTTAATAACAATATAATTTGAGATTGCGAGCGTAACGCAACTATGGGATGACTTTTCACTGCTGAGTGAGGCTGATCGTGTAGTGCTTACCTACGAGTTACAGCAGGCTTGGTGTCACGTTGGTTGACGCGGTCAAGCTTCTTGTTTTCAACTTAGGATGACAAGTGTTTCTGTTAAAACTTGCTACATGTTGTCATAACTATTCATACGAATTACAATTTATGTGTAAAAATTGACTCGACTCTTTCTCCTCTTAAGGGACCCTTAAATTATGAACGCAGTTTATCGTGGCAACAGATGATGCAGAGAAAATTCTGCACAAGTTTGGGAAGCGCATAGTAAACCTCGCGCAAGTTTCTCAGGATTCCCAATCGAATTCAGGAACAAAAAGTTTAATTCCTTACTCTTGTCTCTCATTTTTACCTGCAGCAGAACTATCAGCAAGAATATTAGAGAAACGTGGCCAAATTTGCTCTGGAATGCCCGCTTCAATTTTTATAGGCAACCATTTCGTGTCAGGATGATGTATATGTGACGGACATTCTTTAGATTTAGGGTTTCATTTTATTTTCTGCAGTCATGCATTCTGCGACGGCATAACTGCATCATAGGTAAGTACAGGCATAACTGCATCATAGGTAAGTACAGCTTACAAAATTCGAGAAAATGGGGTCCAAGTAGGAGAAAAAACATTCGTAGATGTTAACCAGTAAAAATTACCCAAACAATTTATAGCGATCTGCATATAAAATTCTGCAGGTTCAGCGGCAGAAACTGTTTTCTTCATGCCTCTCTCATGTAACATTGAGCCTCTCGCGTAGGTCGCATTATGATCGAGGGCAGAATTGTTAATCTTTCACGCTCGAAATGTTAGCCAAAATCCCCTATGTATGGCGTTAGTAGAGCGTAGCTGGGAGATGATGATACGCATCAATATTTCAACTCTTGGAATATCTAGTCTAACTGGTCATGCAAAGTTATGCGAAACTTTCTCAACCGACACCACTTTCTCGTGCATGGTCATAAGAATTTTCTAACGCAACTCTATGATTACTTACTTCAGTCATCATAGTCCAGTAATTATTGACAAGAGTTGATGTAATGAACGGAATCCTGAATCGTTTATTTCAAGTGTATGTTAATTGATATACATAGAATTTCTGAAATACAATCAGATTCGCACTGATTTTATATCAGAAGGTAGATTTCAGCTTGTTATTGTGTGTGTAATTATTGTGTATAAAAATCTACCTATCTTTATCTAAGTTAAATTAAATAAATTTTATGTTGGAATGAGTTATATTATCTGCTTTGAATCAAATTAAGCATTGTTAATGTGGGACTGAAGTGTATGGAGAAAACACTCATCATGAATCGATTTGCATTCATAATATTCTACATATAAGAAGATCATTTAATGATTATTTTTCATCGGATCGTTTACTGACAATTTTCATCTTTATGATTTCATACCTGCTGAAATTGATCAATTTCCGCAAAAAGTTCTAATGTTGCGGTAAATGCCGTATTTTTGACGTGACCACGAATGAGAAAGGACGATTATTGTAAACATGATGGACGAGGGGGGCGATGGCGTTGTCGAATCTTCTAAAAGAAGAGCTGCTACTAATGCAACTCTTAATCTTAGTAAGAAAAGCTCCTCCAAGATGAAGCAGGTACGACTGAATTTTTATCATGAGAGATTTTTTATCTCTCATAAAACTTTTGTTAATAATTTCAGCCATAACTCCAGATGTATGACCTGCAGTCCTGCAGGCTGCAGACCTGGCATACTAGTGGAAAAGCAGAGGTTTTGTTCAAATTTCCTGTTTTATTAAATTGAGTCCTATGAGTACCTAATGAGTAAGCTGGTAAAGTATCATGGATTATTATTATTATGGATACCAGCATTTGCTTATAGATATTGAGAATAAAACTGAACTAGGACCAAGCGTCCAAGCCTATCAAAGGATCGAAAATGATCTGGATTCTAAGAAAAAATCCTTGTTGGCCAAAGGCCCAAATGGCCATTAGGCTATTTCAGACTGCTAATTCTGTATTCTGTACCCCACTGTGCTGAGAGTGGATGAATATTGCAAGATCTTTGGCGATGCTTCAGTAGCAAAATTTACGCCTTCAGAAGCATACCTAGTAGCAAAGCAGAGAGTTTTTTAGACTCTCCCTCAAATTCATTTTTGAGTTCTATAAGTAGACCAATAAAGTATCATGGATAGAAGCATCATCATACATAAGAAATTGGTTTAAATCTTGAATAAATGAGGATATTAAAAATGAACTGATTCTAAAAAATCTCTGGTTTGCCACTATGAATTTTAATAAATCAGAAGATCTTGGCCAGTTGGCCCCATACCCAGGATGGTGCCGTTTTCCACGGATTAATCCGGCGTAAATGAGGCTCCAAGCCCTTCTACTGGCGTACAACGCGGCATACAAAGAGATAAAATAATGTTATTGGCGCACACGCCCGGCGTACGTCCGCATCTGGCTTGTCTCGACCGACTCAACGTACGTCTGCATCTGTGTGATCTGGCTTGTCCCGACGTACCGTACGTCTGCATCTGGCTTGTCTTGGCGTACGTTCGCATCTGGGTGATCTGGCTTGTCCCAATGTACGTCATCATCTGGTTTTGAGCATTTTAGTGCATACTAATGCATTTTAAGGCGATTTAGGGCCTTCTAATGCGATCTAGTGCGTTCTATTACTTACCTAACTGGAAAATGGGAAGAATTGAGAAGCCACCCATAGAATAAACAAAATTGCCTGTCAATATTATCTGGCCAATTTCATTATTCCTATGGCCTTTTGCAAATTTCTCCTGTTAAAATATATATAAAAACATTTATAAAAGCCAAATTTTTCTGGTTTTACAAAACTTAAAATAATGAAATAAAACAATTAAAAAAACACTTTTTCTTAACGGACAAAAAGGAAAACATTTAAGGTAAACGCACCATATTCTGACATTGTGGGTAATTCCGACACTTCTCAACTTTTTCATTTATATTAAGCTTTGTCTTGGTTCCATGCATGCATTGATGGTTGAAATTGTGACGTCATACTATTGCGCACCAGATTCCTGCAAAACACTAGGTCTGGCAGAAAAATGTTAAGATCCTCAGAGCAAAAGTCCAAGTCAACTAGTAAGAACATCGTCACATGTGTCTAAGTTGATAGTTGACCTTGCTCTACTAAATAGTGATTAACTGTTTGTGTAGAAAGAATATTATGCTTTGAGACTCTTAAATAAGTCTGTGAATTTATTAGGAATCCTTTAAGTATACTTGTATTTCCTGATTTTAAGTGGTAAATAAATTAATAGATGATTAGGTTAAGAGACGGTTTTAGACACATAAAAACGAATTCCGACATAGCTTGAAATTGGACACACACAGCTTGTTCCAACTTCTGAGCTGTGTTCAAAAATTACAATTTCCTTAATTAAAAGCTTAATAGCTCTTAATTAAGAGCTTTATTAAAAAATTAAAATTTTTTAATTAAGCTTATTGCTGTGTCCAAAAATTAAAATTTTCCTAATTAAAAGCTTAATAGCTCTTAATTAAAAGCTTAATTAAAAAATTTAAATTTTTTAATTACTCTTGTTCCAAGCTGTGTCATATTCAGATACAGCTCACACAGGGTGTTGGAATTCCAACACAGGGCGCCGGAATTACAAATTAATCAAGTTTAATATCACTCGTTTGCTTGAATCGCAAATTCACTAAAAACTTAATAGCAAAGAAAACTCAGGAATTATCTGTTTTAGAATCTTTTTTCATATTTGCTAACAAGTTGTACCGACAGATTGACGGTTTGGGCATGGGTCTTCCGCTCGGCCCAACCTTTGCGAATATTTTTATGTGTTTCCTAAAGTTCATTTCTTTGAGTCTTGGAAAAAAAGTTCCTCGATCATGTTCCTGTAACGAGCACCATTAACGGTAACTGTGCGTTCGTTTTCTTAAAAAAATAAGGACCAATTATTCCCATTACCGACGTCGCACATCAGACAGTAATTCGCTCACAGTCAAGTGGCTTCTGGTGAAACTCGCGTGGATTTACACCACACCAATAACGCATGTTTAGCCTGTTGACGCAGCTGGAAATGTGGAAGTGAGCCTCGCCACTGAAAAAACGACCGCGTCTTCAGGCAGGTTGTCAACCAGCATTTTACATGCATTTTGAGGGGCAACAAAATCGCGTTCAGTTAATTCTTGCACTACAGAAAATTTATTTGAGAAACTTTGAGAAACAAACTTGGGAACTTTCCCCTTCAGATGCACCCCCTCTCGCCCCTCTACCCGACCAACTAACCGCACAGGAATTTTTTCAAATAAGTAAGTTTTTGTGGCGCAGCCTGTAGTAAGAACATCGTCACACGTGTCAAAGTTGATAGTTGACCTTGCTCTACCAAATAGTGATTAACTGTTTGTGTAGAAAGAATATTATGCTTTGAGACTCTTAAATAAGTCTGTGAATTTATTAGGAATCCTTTAAGTATACTTGTATTTCCTGATTTTAAGTGGTAAATAAATTAATTGATGATTAAGTTAAGAGACGGTTTTAGACACATAAAAACGAATTCCGACATAGCTTGAAATTGGACACACACAGCTTGTTCCAACTTCTGAGCTGTGTTCAAAAATTACAATTTCCTTAATTAAAAGCTTAATAGCTCTTAATTAAGAGCTTAATTAAAAAATTAGAATTTTTTAATTAAGCTTGTTCTGAGCTGTGTCGGATTCCGATACAGCTCACACAGGGTGTTGGAATTCCAACACAGGGCGCGGAATTATGAATTAGTAAGAGTTTGAAGCACTGTCGGAATTTGTATCACAATATGCCAAATTTAGTCACGCACAGCATCAGAATTCAGGGATTTGGTAGATTTGAATTCTAAAGGTTTTTAAATAAATATGGCAACAGTTTGTGACGTTTCATTGTTGCTGGTGCATAGTGTGGTGTTTTGAGAGTGACTTAGAGCAATCAGAACTTGAGTTGCGCATACGGTGATTTTTTTTATAGCCGTTCATTTCTTGATACATCCTTAATATGTCGGAATATGGTGTGTTTAGCCTACTCTTACATAACGTTTAGTTTATGCAAAATGCTATGTAATGTTATGTAAGAGTAAATGTTTTTCTTTTTTGTCCTACTTTTCACTTTAGCAATTTTAGCAATTTTTAGTTTAGTAATTTTAGCAATTCAAATCATTTTCCAGGGTTGGCAAGTCTAGATGTACAAGAAAAAACTTGATTCAGAACTGAATTTTTAGTTTTTTTTTCTAAAAATTTTTTTCTAATTATTATTTCTGATGATCAAATCCTGAATTGTTAGGCAGTATAAGCATGCATGCCAAATTTCAAGGTTCTAGGATCTTCCAAAGTGCTCTAAATTAAGGTTTTAATTTTTGATGACAGACAGACACGAAACAAAGCTAAGAAAAATAAAACAAATAAAAAAAAACTTTTAAAAACCACGTTTTCTTAACAGACAAACAAGAAAAACATTTACTCTTACATAACATTTAAGTTATGTAAAATTTTATGTACAATGTTATGTAAGAGTAAATGTTTTTCTTGTTTGTCTGTTAAGAAAACATGGTTTTAAAAAGTTTAAGAAAACATGGTTTTAAAAAGTTTTTTTTTTATTTGTTTTATTTCACTAAAATAGTTTGTAAAAAACAGAAAAATGTGTTTTTTTAAATATTTTTTTATTTTTTTTTTTTCTACTTTAGCATTTACTTTTATTCTAGTTAGCAATTTTAGCAATTCAAATCAATTTCCAGGGTTGGCGGCAAGTGTGAATGTTTGAGAAAAAACTCAATTCCAGAACGTGAATTTTTTTTTTCTATTTAGAAAAATTGTTAAATTATTATTTCTGATAATCAAATCTTGAATTGTTAGGCAGCATTAGCATGCATGCCAAATTTCAAGTTTCTAGGATGTTCAGAAGAACTCTAAATTAAAATTTGAATTTTTAATGACAGACACACGAAACGAAGTCAAGAAAAACGTGGTAAAAACATGGTAAAAATAAGAAAAATGGCCCATTTTTTAACTGCCTTTTTTGTAAGTCATTGTGAAACAATTATTTTGGTACTGACTAAAACCCGGACCAGGACTGGTCCGCCAGACCTAGAGCAAGTGACTAAAACCCAGACCTGGACCGAGTGACTAAAACCCTGACCTGGACCCATGTATTCAGGTTGCAGAAAAGTTCATTTTTCAGTCAAACTAATTGATAGAGAACGTTCTGAAACGTCCAGGAAACATGAAACTTTTTATTGAATTTTGGAAATTTACTTGGAAGAACTAGGGGTAAACGCGGTATATTCTGACATTGTAGGTAATTCCGACACTTCTTAACTTTTTTCCCTCGTATTAAGCTTTTGTTCCGAGCTGTGTCCAAAAATTAAAATTTTCTTAATTAAAAGCTTAATAGCTCTTAATTAAAAAGCTTAATTAAAAATTGAAATTTTTTAATTAAGCTTGTTCCAAGCTGTGCCGTATTCAGATACAGCTCACACAGGGTGTCAGAATTCCAACACAGGGCGCCGGAATTACAAATTAATCAAGTTTGAAGCGCTGCCAGAATTGGTCTCACAATATGCCAAATTTAGTCACACACAGCATCAGAATTCCGGAATTTTGTAGGTTT